CTTCAAAACACTTAAAATTCAATTCAGAATTCCCAAAAATATTCTGTAGAGCTTCAGAACAACTTAGAAACTTCAGAACCACTTTAGAATGCTCCAAAACATTCATAAACTAATTTACAATTTCCAAAAACATTCTCTAGAACAATTCAGAAAGTTGAAAACGGTTTTAAGACGCTCCAAAATACTGAATCCTCCAGAAACCTTTTTAAAACTACCAGAAGCTTAGGATTCAGGGTAAAAGTTACAAAACGTCTTTCAGACGGCGTTTAAGAGCGAATTTAAATTGCTGTAGAACTTTAAACCTTTAATAAGCATCTAGAACGTTCAAAGCCAAATCAGAATTTTCAGGAGCATATTGGAACAATTGAGAAACTGCAGAGTTATTTCAAAACAATTAGAGGGTTCACTTTAGAACTGGAAACTTTTTAGAACTCTTTTGAACTAATTTAGAACACTTTGGAGCTTCAATATGGGGCTCTAAAATAGTTAAAAATCTGTCAGAATAATGTAGAAATTACTGAAAACTTCTAAACACTTTAGAAGTTCAATAAGCCATTTAGAACGTTCCAAAACACTTTCCAGCAGCATTTTGAAAGGAACAATTTAAAAACCTCCGAATTATTTAAGAGAGCCTAGCGCCTGGAATAGACAAAAGTTGATTATTATAAAATGAGTAATAATAGGAAATATTAGCAAGAAAATGTTCCTATTTCAATTCGAATTCTTGAATATTTATAATTTTTCTTATTTGGCTTTTTGCTCTTGATTTTTTTCCGTATTTCATTATTCTAAATTCTTAACTTTCTTTTTTCTTTTGGCTTTCGATCTTTTTTACTTCAAGTTCTTGAATTCTCTTTATTCCTGTATTTTTGAATTCCAGGCTTTTGATTTGTTTTTTAATTTTCACTCCTGGCTCTTCTAATGCTTTTCTTCCAAAACGATTTTTGTGTATGTTCTCGTTTAAAAGAAATCAAGAATTTAAGAGCCAAGCGTATGTGGAAATCTTGGGGGTGTCTTTGTCAAAAAAATTTCAAATTTTCAAAGCAACCTGAAATTTAATGATCATTACCATTATGTAATCAGTAAAGCTTACCGTGCTTTAGGTTTTGTCATCAGAAATACGGAATACTTTAAACATGTTGATACCTACAGTCATAAGATTATACAACGCATTTGTTAGATCCCACCTTGAATATGCTAGTGTAGTTTGGTCACCAGAGGCAGAATGCAACATCGATAAAATTGAGAAGGTTCAAAAGCGTTTCCTCAAATATCTATACCATAAGAAGTATAATATATATCCTCATCTTGTATCTTATAAAAGTATGCTTAACATCTTTAATATTCAATCACTAGAAATAAGGCGTAGACTGAATTCTGTGTTATTTATATATTATGTAGTCAATAATATTAAGTATAAATAATGATCCTTCATTAATTATATGAAATTCCATGTTCCTAAGATAAATTTACGTCGTATAAGTATAGGTAATGCTAATCTGTTTTACTGTGATATCTCTGATTGGTCTCTAATCATGTCAATGTAGCATAAGTGCAATATACTAATTAATAAGCATGATATTGACATGTGCAATTTGGATGTTAAAAAACTTAAATCCCTTTTCGAACTTTACTGATGGTGTTAACTACACAGAGCATTATATAGATATATTATTGTTGTTTGTTAACCATTTATTTTGTTTTATACTTTTTTCATTTGTAGTGTTTGTAATAGCTGTAGTAATGTAAGCTCTAGGCAGTAGATTTTATTAGATATAAGGCATCTATTGCATGTTGTTATCAATATTATTTGATGTTTGTAAGATGTACCAATAAAATAAAAAAATAAAATAAAATTAAATTAAAGTCTTTTGACTTTCATTTTTATCAAAATGAGCCAGCAGAAGGAAGATTAAATGTTTTTTTCTTAAGTTTCAATCAATATTTTTTTGATCCACTTGCAAAATTTCAATCCAATTCCCCAAACATTTTTCTTAAAATAAAAATGCAGTTTCAATTTCGCATCTGCAGCGGAAGTTTGAAAATATTTTGAATCAAGGTGAGAAAGCAGATTTTTTCATTTATTTCAATCCAATCCTTCGCATATTTTTATCCAAAAAAAGATAAATTTTCCTTCAGTGATTTTTTGAAAATTTGATTATTTTAAAAATGACATCGACACACATTTTGCCTCACCTTAATTTCAATTCGAATTTCACATAATTAGACCAAATCGATGCCAAATAAATCTTTTATAAATCTCTAATGAAGAATTCCAATGCAGTTTCAATAATTTTGTAGCTGCGAAGCTTGTGAAAGTCTTGACTTTCATTTTTATCAAGGTAAAGAAGCAGAAGGAAATTTTTATTTATTTTCCTAAATTTCCATATTTTCATTATTTACTTGCCAAATTCCAATCCAATCCCACGCACATTTTCCTCAAAAGAAAATAAGTTGTTCCTCGATATAGTTTTTTAAAAATCTGATTAATTTCTAGAACGGCACTTTCACACAATTCGCCTCACAACTTTTTTAATTTCAATTCGATTTTAACATAATTGGGCTCAAATCCCATCCTTCACTGTCATTTCTTTAGAAAGTAAATTTTTATCTAATGACCAATTAGGTTCAAATAGGCCCATTAAATCCTATAAATTTTTCTATTCAACAGTTCCAGTGCAACTTTAGCTCTGGGAAACTCCTAGAGTAGAAAAATATCTCATTTATTAATAAAAATTTCTGTTTGCCTTATTTTCCTTTTCTTCATTCTTTCTTTTTTATTTCAATTTTTGTTCCTTCCAGGTTCTCAAATATTTTTTTTAATATTTTACTTCTCTAAATAAAAAAAATAAGAAATTTCCTGAGTTTGGAATACAAAAATAAATAAAATTAAGGAATTTGATATTTAAAAAAAAATTAAGTGCCTGATGGATTCGACCAAAATTGATAAAATAAAAGAAATAGGGTGGAATATGTTTCAAAAAAATTGAGAATATTTTTTATTGACTTATGGTTGTGAACAAGATGTTGCCATAATAAATGTGTAACAATAATAGTATATTGTGTATTTAGGAGGAAAAGTGACACATTCTCGGCCGACGGTGTAAGTTGACAGGCGAGGCGTAGCCGAGGCCGGCAAACACCGAAGGCCGAGAATGTGCTTTTCCACCGAAATACACATACTATTATTCAGCAATACGAGAATCACTTTCCCGGCCTAGGCCGGAAAAGTGTTTCCCGTATTGTTATTCATTGATTCCTTAGCAACTATTGAAACATAATTGAAATACCAGAATATTGAGTTTAGCGACCTGTCAACCGGTCGAAAATGCTGACATTTCTTGTCAATCGCAGAAAAAAGTATTTCTGGATTTTTTCTCCACAATAAAAAAAAAAGAAAATTGAATGAAGAACTGTAGTAGGTATTTATAATTTGCATTTGTTGTTTACCAGTTTTGTTAATATAAATATAATTTTATTTTTTTTTACAATAAATTTTCATTTGATTTGTTACAATTCCTACAAAGCGTATAGTAAAATCAATGAAAAATCCTCATCTGAAAAATAATCAAATTTTCTTTAGGTGATAAAAAAAAAACAAATTAAATCCCAGACCTTAGTTTTTTTATTTTAACAACTAGCAATAATATACATTTTTCGTTATAAAATTCTTCATTTGTCAATTCAATTGGGTCCAATCACACGTTCGATAATAATAATTTTTGTCCCTTAATTAAATACAATCCAAAATTTTGTTGTGTACAAGTAGCAATTATTATGAATTACTCAAGAATAGAACTTGTAACTACGAAAGCTCAATTTACAAGCGAATCTACAATAGGATTTCTTTTTTCTGACATTCATGCAGGATATATTTTTACTCAACTGTTAATGGTACCTCTAGTTAGTTTGCATGCATTGACTTCTTTTTGTTTTGTTTTATTCAACATTTATCAAAGAATTTCAAGTTCTTATAAAACTAAGAATAAAGAATGCTGTTTTTTTTTTTTGAGTGTCAAAGAATGCAAATAACAATGATCTATGCATTATGTAAAAAATATTGTCAACAAGACAGTACAGAAAATAAACCTTTAACAGTTTTCCAGGTATTCTTAAAAAGACAAAGTACTTATTTTATCACACAACTTGCCAGAGAAGGTCTGGTTGTACCAAATAGTGATTCAGTTAAGACTACTGGAACTCAATCTAAGAGTTCAACTGAAACCCTATTTGGTACCAGCAGACCTAAAAAAAAAATTAAATCTGCATCGTTTACGAATGCAAAACAAAAACTAGTTAGTGCGAATTGAAAAAAAAAATTTTTTTAGAATTTTTTTTTCATCAAATTACTCGGATTAGTATCATCATAATTTAAAATAAAATATTTACAACCAATAATTATTAGGGAAGTGCATTGTGTAAAAAAACATATCTACATTTGTGTTGTTACTCCATAATTAACTACCTGATTAAAAAAATCTAATCTGGAAGAGCCACAATAGAGCAATTTATAAATTGAGCCAATTTTTTCCAATAAAAAAAAACTAAAGGTTGTACAACAGTGTAAACTATAAAGTAGCTTCTTTTAAATAGGTATGACTATTGAAATTAAAATTATTTCAGAAGAATGACCTTTTTACATGTAATTGAATATCAGTTTAAATTTTTGGGGCCTGTAATTAGAAATCCTTTAAAGTTTGATCAACAGTGGAACTAGTAGTAAGTAATTTTGCAATAAAATATGATGCAGGTTGTTGTACCTAACAACTACATGAACACATTGAATTAAGAGAAACAATTAGCAACTTGTTTTGTTTATGCCTTATGTGTTTCTGCTACAACAATCTAATAATTATTATAATCATTATGATGATACTAACACACATTTTTCTTTATATATAAATTATTAGTCTGTCTATTTTTTTTTTCTTTAAATAATACACTGCTACAAAAGATTAAAAGTCTGCAGCACTTTTCACTTCAACCTACTCTGGATTGCTTCACTGAGATTGATATTTGTACATCACCCCCATGTTCGGTTGTTGTCCGCCTTGTCCTGACCATTGTCCCTGTTGAGGTACGACACAGTACTGTTGGCCGCCGGCAGGATATTGATATTGCTGCTGATATTGATATCCGCCTTGCATGTATCCTCCAGCAGTGCTACTAGCCCCGTATCCACCCGATTGTGGATACCAGTATTGGGTTCCGTACCCGTAAGAATAATTGGGTGCTGCTGCCTGAGAGACAGCCGCCCCAGTGGCGTTCATAGCATTGACATCTGGGCCTAACCCTCCATTTTCTTTGCCCCAGAAGCACTTGACAACATGTCCATTTATTTCAGTGTTGTGGATGTTTTCGATGGCGTGGGTGGCACTTTCTTTAGTTACAAATTTGATAAAAGCATATCCTTTGTCTTTAAATACTCTAATATCTTGTATAGCACCAAAACGGGAAAAGGTTTTGGTAACCAAATCTTCAGTGAGACCAGAAGCAAAGCCACCACAATAAACTGTGGTATTGGTTGGAGAGGTTTGGTTGTAAACCTCGTCGAATGTGATTTGCTTCTTGTTTTGAGTGGGTTTATCGGTTCTAGGAGGTGGTGGTTTTCTAGTGGACCAATTTGTGCGAATTGAACGTGAGCCAAGCCATTGTCCGTTCATGGCTTGTATAGCATTTTCGGCTTCGGCTTTCTTTACGAAAGAAACGAAGGCGTAGCCTTTCGATTTTAGTGTTTGTGGGTCCCTAACAATTCTACAATTTGAAATTTCTCCGAAAGGAGCAAAGGCCTCTCTGAGTGTTTCAGTCTCGATTTCAGGAGATAGATCGCCGACAAATATGTGATGGTGGTTTGAGGTATCTGTTTTCGGTTGATTTCCGGGACTGGTGGCCCAATTAACTTTCATTTCCTTGTCTAGAAAAACGCGTTTGTTCATTGCAATTAGGGCCGTCGAGGCAGATTGATGATTTGTGAATTCGACAAAAGCATAGGGGTCGTTTCCAGGCTCCCTTATTATCTTACAACCTTTGACCGGACCGATTTGCGAAAATAAAGTACACAACAGGTCTTCTTGAACGGACAGATCCAGATTGCCTACATACAATGTCTTTGGGTAGGTTTCGTCCGACATGGTGACGCCGGTTTGGGGGTTCCTATTTCTACTACTATTGCAATGATACACTAACTATTGTTTCCAGGACACATTAATTTGGGAGTTTTTGCTTTAGAAATCACTGCAAATGGCAAATTTTTCGTAGAAAATTGATAAGAACGGAAATTGATGACAAATATCAGCCAGTGAACTTTTTCTTTTCGACTGTCAAAAACGTCAGAGTTGTTGAAATGGTGGGAAAGAAACAAAAAATCACTAGATCTGTCAATTGACGGCGCATTCCGAGTCCCCCAAATCCTCTAAAATTTAGATAGAGTGACATGGAAGATACAAAATCAATCTGTCAGAGAAAGATAAAACATAGCTGTCAAATTACGAACGAGTCGTCTAACCGTGCGTTCGGTATTTTGCTCTGAGTTCCGAGCTTGAATTTACTGTTCGTTTCAAAAAGTGTACTCGGTGCAGGCTCTGGCACTCTTGATACATCGTTGAACTGCTCTGTTCGCTCGCTGGTCACACGATTACGGCTCCGCTCAGCACGCTCTGCGCTCTGCTCTTTGAGAAAAATACCGAACGCAAGGTAAAGCTAGGTTTTTAGTTAGAGATTAGAAATTATTCTATTTTATCTTGTAGATGCATTTTAACATTTTCAACATATCAGTTTATTGTAAATTCTAATCAATGAACAATGAACAAAATTCTTGATGTAGATGCAGGCACAATGTAGCCAACGTCAGCTCTGCTTTAACAAAAAAAGAAGACCAAAATTGTGCCTGACAGTTTACCGTCACGTTTTTGTTGTTTTTTCTTTGCCGATGCGAATTTGAGGTTAGATTAAAAGCAAAACGTCAACAACAAAATTTAAAATCTGTGTTTTTGGCGAATCTCATTTAGTTTTTTTTTTGTTTGTTTAATTTTAGCAAAATGTGATGGAAATATTTCGCTATGTCTTACGAAGACAGTTTGGAAGTTCGCCAAAATAACGAATTCGAAGCTTTACAGGTACTGTTTTTCTGAATATTAAATAACTACATGTCCGAAATCGGGTCCGTCAAGTTGGCCTTTTTGTGGGCCTTTCTACATTCGAGTTTTCCGAAAATTTTGCAACAAGTTTAGGGAAGGAAAGATACCCAGTAATTCGCCAATTTAGTGAAAACTATTAGCACTTTTATTAAACTATAATCATCTGAAACCAGTTAAAGTTTGCTATAGGGTTGCCACCTTTTGAATTTCGAAAACCCGTACATAATCGAAGCTAACTTTTTTTTTGGGGCATAATTTACACTCATCTGTAAAATGAATTTTTAGGCGAAAATTAAAAATGGTACCTACCTAATTTTAGACGGCACCCCTTATAGTTACGTCTATTTTAAAATTGAAAAAAATAAAATAATAGAGACACTTGTAAGTGAACAGGGAGAACGACACAATACATACATAATTATTTGTTTTATTAGGCAGAAAAGCACAATATTTAATGCCGCGGCTGGTGTTCCATAGCCGAAGGCGAAGCTAGGAAACCAGCCAAGGCATTAAATCTGATCTTTCGCCGTGTGAAGCATATCATTTTTTCTCCGAATTTGTTACAATTTCACGCATAATCCACTTTTTTTTTATTTATCAATTGCGCTGATAACGTTTGTTGACACACCCGTCATTCAAGAAGTAGATACGTTCAGAAATTAGTTAGGTATATCCTAAGGCTATCGGAAATCGTCTTTATAAATTTTATATTTAGTATTAATTATTATTAATTATACAGTTATCCAGATATTCCCGGACATTTTCATCATGCGTCCGGACACCGGACAAACCTTTAAAAAACCGGACAGTCCGGGTGAAAACCGGACAGGTGGCAACCCTAGTTTGCGACCTTGTACTTCCATAGGGTTTTTAGTTAGGGGTGGTTTTTAGGGGTAATTTGCGGTTTATGGAAAACGCTGCTGAAAGGGATGGTCCAATAGCAAAATGTTTCAAATGAATGTTGTAGCTGAAGTTTTTTGCTATAAAAAACTCAGCGACAGCACCCCTCTATCTTCTATAGTTTTTTCTCTGCAGCGTCTTGAATAGTAGCATGTTTTTGTTCAAGGTTACTGAATCAACGTTTTGCCATTTTGCGCGCATTTGTTGCAGCAGCGGCCGAATGCATAATCCGATTTCAATTTTTCAAACCCCACATTATTGCTAATGAGATGCACTCTCCAATGCTTTTTTGTTCGAATTTTTTGCTTGAAAATTAAGCGAGCACGGACTTGTCTAATGTGCGTGGAAGTTGTAAATTGCATCGAAAACTACCCCTTTCTTGCATTCACTGTAATTTCTAAACGGGGCCAAATATCTGGTGACAGTTTTCGACAATCGGCAGCCCATTTATTCCTCTCATAATGCCCCAGCGGATTTTTTTTTTCGTTAATTACTTAATGACTTATGGCGCTGAAATTTGCTACTATGGCTTTATTTATTGTTCTCATGAATATACTGCAATTTTATATCATGTGAAGCGATTAAAATTGCAGTATATTCGTAAGAACAATAAATAAGGCCATCGTACCAAATTTCAGTGCTATGCGACAATTTTAATTTTTTTTTACTTTTTAAAAAATCCCGCGCGACGTTTTCAGGCCAATAAGTCATTAGGTAATTAACGAAAAAAAAAATCCGCTGGGGCACTACGAGAGGATTAAATGGGCTGCCGATTGTCGAAAACTGTCACCAAATATTTGGCCCCGTTTAGAAATTACAGTGAATGCGAGAAAGGGGTAGTTTTCGATACAATTTACAACTTCCTCGCACATTAGATAAGTTCGTGCTCACTTAATTTTCAAGTAAAAAATTCGAACAAAAAGCATTAGAGAGTGCATTTCATTAGCAATAATGTGGTGTTTGAAAAATTAAAATCGGATTATGCATTCGGCCGCTGCTGCAACAAATGCGCGCAAAATGGCAAAACGTTGATTCAGTAACCTTGAACAAAAACATGCTACTATTCAAGACGCTGCAGAAAAAAAACTATAGAAGATAAAGGGGTGCTGTCACTGAGTTTTTTATAGCAAAAAACTTCAGCTACAACATTCATTTGAAACCTTTTTGCTATTGGACCATCCCTTTGAGCAGCGTTCTCCATAAACAGCAAATTACCCCTAAAAACCACCCCTAACTGAAAACCCTATGGAAGTACAAGGTCGCAAACTTAATATGTTGTTTAGCATATTAAAATGGACCGATCCTCCCCAAAAAATTTCAACTTCTAATTATGTTGAGGTAAACCCTCTTTTCAGATCCCCGTTTCTTGGACTAAGTTCAAATTCAACAAATTGTTTTTTATTTTTTATGTTTCAAGAGAATATTTCACCCAAATTTCCATAGATTATTGAAGAATAGTAATTAAAAGATGCCGGTCGTCAAATTAACTTCAGGGAGAGTTGGTAGAAATCAGACTAATTGTATTATAGCAGATAGAGAATTGGATTTTTGATAGATATTCTTGTTTTTTTGCAGAATTTGTAATTTTATAAGTGATGCCATACCCGAGGCCATACCTAACATGTTTCAACACTCAGTGCGTTCTTCAGAAAGATATCTAAATTAAGCTTGAATATACAGGCTGATTTACATAGCCCGTACATTGGCTAGCATTAAAACTTCTAATGCAGGGGCGAGGGGTGAGCAGATTTAAACATTTTGTACACCTCCTGCCTAAAACACAATTATTCAAGTCCTACTCAGTCAGTACTACCAAGTCCTATCAGGTCTTGTCAAGTCCTTCAAAGTCCGGTCAGGTCCTGCAAAGTCCTGTCAGTTCCTCCAAAGTCATGTCAGGGCCTGCCTCGGGGCCTGCAGAGTCTTTTCAGTTCCTGTAAAGTCCTGTCAGGCTCTGCACAGTCCTGTCAGGCCTTGCATCTCTTGCTGTATTACTGCAAAAATTAAAAAATGTTTAGCTGTGTCTGTAGTCTGTGATACAGTGAGCACATAAAGGTTAGATTAAAATCCATAAAAAATACAGGGTTGATTTTTTTCATAAAAATTACATTTTTATGAAAAAAATCATTTAAAACTAAAATTATACCACAGATTAAAAACACTCTCCTGAATTAAATTGCTCTTGAAATTATTTTAGTTATTTAAATCCTCGTTTAAATCCTATATTTTTATCGGGTGATTGCTGATTAGCTTGGGGTTAACTTTTTGTCCTGTGGTTTTTGCTGGTGAAAATTGTTGATACCTACTACTTATATCCGTTTTTCTTGATTGTTCATTATATACTATAGTTGGTTACTTCATGTATTTGTATTTGAGGCATAAGTCAAAACCTAGTTTTAAGTGTTCAATGTCTTGGGTTTATCCTGTTAGACAATAAATGAAGAATATCTTGGATACATCAATTTTTGATTTTAGTGACCGTTTTTTTGATGATAACTTGATGTGTACAGGGTGAGTCACTATATTTTGACACCCAGCTGCAGCCCTAGGTAATTACTGACAGGTGATAGGTAAAAGGTGTAAATACAAAAGTCGCCAAAATTTTTGATTAGATTGAACAAATGAGCAAGGCAAAGAAAAAATATATCGATGTTCACTTTTTTTAAATTGAATGCACTTTATTTGTCCTAAACGTGCGAACTTTACTACTAAGACATTAAGAAGGATGTTATACCTGTACCTAATTGGCTCTGCTGTTGATAGTTTGAATAAATAAATAAATAAATTAACCTACTTTACAAGGTATGATGTATGAAAATGACATCATAAAGCCTCAGGAAGAACTTGTCGGATTTTATGAATGTTGTAACCGAAATAAAATGGGTTTGAACACTTGACAAATGCAATTACAAGAGGTTTGGTGAAGCTTCTGATATAGAGAGCTCCGAGGGGTGTTTCACGATCGGCATTGGTGTACAAATTTACGGTAATAATCACGGCAGTCAGAGTAATGATTTAGGAATTGTGAGCATTGAATAAATAAATACCTTAGAGCAGGAAAGCGCTGTCCTACGGACATAAGGAGTAGGAACGCGCCATTCTGCTTATGAAACTAAAGTGAAGCCAAGTTTTTGGCAGGTGTTTGGCACCAAGATACAGGTAAAGCATTGAATTGCCATAAGCGCCATTTTCTTGGTGCCAAAATACCTCGAAAAAAACGGCTTCATTTTCCAAATCCAGGTTACTTCTCCTCTTTACCTTTATCTGCTCTAAGATAAATACAATGTCGGACTGGCCCACCAGGCAACCGGGCAAAATCCCGGTGGGCCAGGTGACGTCTTCGACAGGTGGGCCATTCAAATATTTAAAAAAATACGATATCTTCACAAATTAACTCTTTTAAAACAATATTATTATTTAAAAATCTCAACCTCCGACTCCCACATTATTTATTTTATTTATTTATTTTCAGAAAATTATTACAATGTTAACATTATAATACCTATATAGGTAATCAGTTACCTATGCATAGGACTGGTGAAACTTAAAAATTAAACTTAAAATCTATAAAAACCCACCATGTGCATAATGCCCCTATATAGCTATCACAAGGATATGTGTACCTAACTCAATTATAGACATGCTCACAGTGTGAAGGAAATACCTACATATTAGGCATTGCTTCAAATAATATAATCTCGAATATAATATATAAAATATAAAAAAAATCCATAATAATAACAATAGAAAAATCTCAAGAAAAATTATATGTACAGGGTGTCCCACGGTGGATGGCGTATTAGACGTTTATGGAGAACTAAAAAGCGGATCATATTGAAAATTTGGCAACCGGGATAAACGACCATAATCTACACTTTAAAAATATTTTTGTTTATGCGGTGTTGCCGCTTCTACTCGTAATCAGTGGCGACATCGCTATTTTAAATGGAACACCCTGTATGTGATTGCATATTTGGATTCTACATAAAATTCTGAACAGATATCATGTGATATACCCTATACCTAAGATCAACTATTTCAGAAATATTGACAGTTGAAAATTGAGTTTTTGCAACTTTGAC